GGAGTAGAGATCGCAAAAGACTGCTCGTGGAATGCACACATGTCCAAGGTAGCGGAAAAGGGCAAAGCACGAGCAGGGAAGCTGCATCCAATACTCGCAAGCTGGCACCTCGATACATGCATCAAATTGACGGTTTTGAAGCGCGTAATCGTACCGCCGCTAGAGTACGCCGGAGAAGTATGGGAAGGAAATAAGAAGGTAGTGAAAGAACTCGAGGCGGCGCAGATGAAAGCAGCGAAAACCATCCTAGGATGCTCCAGGCGCACAAGTAATGCAGCCGTGAGGGCAGAATTGGGGATCCAATCCCTACGGTCGGGAAGAGACGCGAGGAAGCTGACCTGGCAGTATCGCATGTGCGGGATGGGAGAGGAGAGGTTGCCGAGGATTGTATGGGAGGCGAAGTGGGCAAACAAAAAGAGGGGTAGACAACCCACGGAATGGGTCAAGGTTGTAGAGGACGTATGGAAGGGGCTCGACATCGACGAAGATGAAACGCTGGAAACGGAGGGTCTACAGGGGTTCAAGGAGAAGATATCTGTTGCTTGTGCCGAGAGAGAAGAACAGAATCTGAGGAAAGAATCCAAGGATAACGAGGGTCTGGACGTGTACGGAATGTTGAAGGAAGGAATAGGGTTCAAGGACTACCTACATGGACCAATGGATGCAGGAACAAAGCTTAAGGTCAAATTCAGGACCGGGGACATAGGCCTTCGAGAACGTCGACGAAGACATAGGACGGTAGACGAGGAAGACGACGAGTTCAAATGTGATTGCGGCTTCGAATGCGAAGACCGTGTTCATGTAGTCGCGGAATGTCCGTTGTACAAGAAGGAGAGGGAAGTGTACGTGACTGAGCTGGGAAAAATAGATGGAACGTACAGGGAGATGTTTGAGGCATGGAATAGAGAGGAAAGGACGGTAGCTGTACTGAAGCATTGGAGGTGGGTTGAAAAGGCGGGGAGGGATATCGTTAGCATAGAGAGACTGGGGAAGACATTTTTGAGCCACCTTTGACAAAGTAGAAAGGAACGATTGGCCATCGGTGATCGGTCCTGTGGGAACAATGCTCCGTCCTCTCGAGGACGCGTGGTCAATGGTCTAACC